CTCTCTCTCTCTCTCCCTCTCTCTCTCTCCCCCTCTCTCTCTCCCCCTCTCTCTCACACACGCGCGCGCGCGCGCCCCGTCCCCGGTTGTCCTCAGTCCTTTGTCTTTCTCACTCTGTGTGCGCGTGTGCGTGTGTGTGTATGTGCGCGAGCGCGCGCTCTTGCGTGGGATGTAGCTGGGATTTACTAGATGAAGGATTCTTGGAAGAATAGAACACCAATACATTAACGTTATCTGCACAGATTACTGATGATCTATCCTCTCCGTCGCAGGGGTTTATGTCTGCACCAATACATTAACGTTACCCCTGCGACGGAGAGGATAGATCATCAGCGACAACCGGGGACGGGGCGCGCGACGGTATTGCAGTCCACCATCGCCTGCGAAAACTGATGATCTATCCTCTCCGTCGCAGTCCACCATCGCCTGCGAAAACCATCGCCAGCGTTGGTGGACTGCAATACCGTCGCTGCCATTTGATGTCGGTTTGTGTTTGCGAAAAGACTGACGCTACTGAAGACCTCGGTTCTGCCCACAAGTTTTTGCAAGGCGTTTGATCTACTAATTACGCTGTTGAGGTGGCCCAGCGAGTTTTTCCGAGACCTATAGTAGCTAATCATTCCTTGCAAGCTCTGTGCTGCATTTTCTGAGAGCGGAAGCGGCTGCGCGAGCTCGCAACGAGCCTGGCTCTTCCCGCAGCAGAGGATGACAACGAGCGACAGCCACGTGGCCAGTGGATAGCGTTACGACCACGTGGATTGACGAGTGTAGAGATAATAGCTCAACGTAACCAGTTCCCCAATGTTCGACGACGTGATTTGAGTGCCGTCAGTGAGGGGGAGGGATTGATCTAACGAAAGGGAGAGTCGGAGGGAGGCAGGGAGATCACGATTGCGACGTAAAGCCAGACGAGGTGTGGGAAAATGGACGACAAATAGCAAGTTGCGAAGGAAACGAACCGCAAGGGGGAAATGCTCGGACGCGGTACAAGGAATTAATCGAAGCTAAGGAGAGAGAGGAAAGACAATGGATACGCTACTACAGTCCGTTTCAGAGTCAAGTGTCATCACGACTAATCTCGGTGGCTCTTCTTTCCCCGTGGAGGTGTCTTCTTCTGATGAGAAGGTCCACGTTACTCCGCCACCTCGCATAGCGATTGATCTGGGTACTTCTTCTTGCCGGGTGGCGGTGTGTCGCGATGGAAAGGTCCAGGTCATACCGGACGTGTCCGGTAAACTCTCAACACCGTCCATTGTCGCATTCACGGACGAGAAGTGTTTGGTGGGCGAACAAGCGCAGAAACAACTGCTGCTGCGCAAACCGGAAAACTTGCTGTACGAGGCGAGACGCCTCATCGGACGGGATTACGATGCGATCACAGACGGGGAGAGCAAATGGTGGCCGTTCATCGTCGTTAACGGAGACTCCGGCGAGGCGATGCTGGACGTAAAGAGTGAACTCTTTTCCTCTGTGATGAGCAATTCCGGAGATAAGGTTAAAGAAGTATCCTCTGTGATGAGCGGTTCTGGAGATCAGGGTGATGGCATCGTTCTGCCATCGGAGGGTCATGGCAAGAGGTACTTGGCGCCTGAGCAGATAGTAGCGATGCTTCTAGCGAAGATGAAGAGTGATGCGGAGAATTTTCTCCACCGCGATGAGCTGCACGCAGCGGTCATTACCGTCCCCGCGCTGTATTGCGATAGGCAGCGAACGGCGACCAAAGTGGCAGCCGAGATCGCTGGCTTCACGGATGTGCAGCTCGTCAGCGAATCAACGGCGGCTGCTTTGAGCTACGCCCAGCACAAGGGACTCATGACCTTCGACTGCTCTGGTGTTTCTCCTGAAGAACAAACTCAAGGTGGCACGAAGATGCTTGTAGTTGCTATGGGAGGAGGAAACTGTGAAGCTGCCATGGTTACGATTACCGGTGGAGAGCTCAGAGTTGACTCCTCAGCAGGCAATCCGAGTCTCGGAGGCATGGACTTCGACCACAAGATGATGGAACTAGTACGTAATCGCGTGCAGCTGCAGTTTAATCGGACACTCCCTCTGAACAGGAGCACGTTGCGGGAACTGAAGACAGCGAGCGAAAAGGCGAAGAAAGACCTGACCTTGATGAGCGACACACAGGTTGGACCTCCAGGCGAGGCCCCACCCTTATCAAGACGAAGCCGTTGTGTGGGGGGCAGCCCTCTTTGCTGATTGCAACGAGCGGGTTATGGAGAGGCATCCCATAATCATCGCGTACTCTGCGGATAGCCATTCGGAAACAAAACAACACCTTGTTCTCGAACAGTATGCGAGGCCGACGCGCTGCGTGTTGCCAAGACTCGGCTGTTGGCCAGGTGAAGCGTATGAGAGGCATCTGAATATTTATGAGATAAGAGGAGGTGAAACAGTATACACTTCAGCTGGCATAATAGAGACGTCCAGATACTTATACGAATACCAGAGTCGCATACTCCTGCAGCTCAGGATTGACCGATCCGGGATACTGGGCCTTGACGAGGGACCGGATTCAGTACCTGCTTTGTTTCGTAAATCCGGGCGACGATCTCCGCATGACATCACTCGTTGGAAGCAGCTTGCCGAGGAGCTGCCTGTGCACGAATGGAGAATCGAATGGGAGAAGTACACCAGCCAAGTGAAGAAGAGAGAGTCTTCATGCCCGGGCTGGCTGTGGAGTATGATATTGGAATGGAAGCGTGACATCGACGGCTGGCTTGGCAAGAAGGCGGCAGGTGGGATGAAGGAATTTGCCTCCCGGTTTGCCGAATTCCGAAGGGCGTGCGAATATGCATTTGGAGCGTTGCGGGCAAGACCAAATTCAGGAAGGAAGTTCTTGGTGGTCGATTGCTGGAAATCCAACGATATTGAGGACTGCTTGTATAATCTTTTCGTGAGCAGGGGCCCAGAGCTCTGCGAGATGGTCATCTCCATGCCGCTTCAGGAGCTCCGCAAGAGAAAGAAGTGTATCGCAGAAATGGAGGGAATCCGATTAGCGGCACCCGGCCTTTCGCCCAAGGCGACGCCCAACGCCTTGATGAACGGAGGGATCCCTTACGTCCTGCTCCAGGCAGGGCCCGCGGTAACGGGCTCAGGTGATCCAGAGGATCTCTGCTCTGGGTGGAACAAGCTTGCTGGTGAGCAGGTGTCACTAGCCCTGCAAGCTGGTCTTCAGGTCCTCTTGCGCCTCGGACGAGATGATTGTGACGATGTGCACTTCAGGAATGAGGCTTTCAAACTGGAGGAGGAGAAGCTCCATTGCGGAGCACAACTCAGGGACATTGTCGGTCGCGTTGGCAAGGACTTTCGAAACATAGCTATAGCTTATCTGCCTCCACGGCATATGCTGACTTCGGCAACTGAAGCCGCTGCAGCAGAGGCGCAATGTGATGTTGTCCAGACGGTTCGGCACATAATACTTGTGATTGGGGACATGGTGAACGACCAGCCCGCGGATGCAACGCGCATCCTTATCGGCGGATGCAAGACGGCGGACACGTGGCATGCCCTGCTAAGTCGGCGGCACGAGATCGATGGCTTTCTTCTTGAGGCGGGCCTCCGAGAGCCTCACCTGTTTGACCAACTTCTTCTCCTAGGGGGACCAAGCAGGCGAATTCGCCAGGAGAGGGGAGGCAAAGTGTTGCTTTGTGGGGGGCAGCAGGAAAATGTGACCCACAGTGAGTATGACATGGTCTGGTTGAGCGCAGTCACAGACGAGCTGATGGGTACAGAGGAGGTCCTCTGGACTGCGACGAAGTGTGTATCAACTGTGGGAGTGGGTTCAGAAATGAACGTGATCAGGGAAATCAACGGCTCCAATGTGTTGCTCTGGAAGGAGGGTCATATTATGACCGACTACCGCGGAGAGGTTGGAGAAGATCGAAAGGTGACGATCGTCCCCATTTTCGATTGTGACAACAACAGCCAGGGACTCGAGCTAGCAGATGCGCTATCGACGCAGATCTCAGCATTGAGGGAGAAACTGGCAGGAAAAGGTGACACTGAATGGTCACAGCTTCTTCTTGAGTATAGGCCTGCAGACGGTGTGAACGTCTCACGCTCTCTTTTTGAGACTGTGGAGAGAACTCACGTCCTCATCAGGAGATGGGTTTTGGCACACTTGGGAGCAGAGGCGGCGCAGGAGGTGCGAATCGTATGCTTCCTTGAGGACCAGGTGGAGTCAGAGACACGTCGACAAATTGCGAATCTGCCCGATGTAGATGGGGTGAGCCTGCGGCTTCCCGAACGGCGGACTATCAGCCGCCCCGGTCTTCCGGCGTAGACGCAGGTTAGATTGCATCCTCTTCTTTTCTTTCTATCAAAAGGTTTGTAAACCTGGCAGTACTGTAACGAAGATGGGCCTCGCTGCACTACTGTTGAATCTTGAGAAATCAAGAGGTCATCACGGCTGCACTAACTCTTGACGCAGCGTCCTGAATTTGCATTCAAGAGCTGTCAGATTCACTATCGAAAACGTCAAGAGTGAGTCATGGCTGTGCGAACTGTGGAAAAGTGCTCTTGATCCGGCACTTCAAGAGATGTCAGAAATGGCCCTTTGGACGAGCTCTTGAAGCTTCCACAGTTCCTGCCTGCAGGGGCGGTTTTTTCAAACGAGGCCGACCGGACCCTTCGTGCTGTTTGCAAATTCGAGAGTTGGCCTCAAGTCTCAGTGGACAAATCGTCGGTGCCCTGTTGTGTCGTGTCTTTTCAGTTTCTCGAACTTCTGTCAGACAGTCACGAATGCTCACGAGAGTAGAGAGTCCGGAGTTAGTGCAGTGCAGTCTCACTAGCACCTCATAGAATGTATCTGATGGCTATCACGTTCTTAGGGAAGTTTTCTTTTCTTTTCTTCCTCTTCTTTTCTTTTCCTGTTCTTTTTCAGATGTAACTGCCGTGAGTACCGGGCAAGAAAATAGAATGGGACCCAATCTGCGCGCAGTGAAATTCAGGTTCGGTAAAAACAGGGTCGGACGTAGTGGTGGTTTGATTGAAATTGGTTCCATGCTTTGGCCCTTTTGGTTTGGGCGGGAAACCGCTTCCCTAGGGTAGTGTAGCTTTCTTAACAGCTGCCCCTTCTTTTCTCTTTCTTTCTTGACACGCTACCTCTTGAATTGGAGGAACTCTGACAGCTGTGTTTGGCACTCTTGATGGGAACTCGTTTCCTTGTTTGGGTACTGAAATAATTTGGCCATGCTCTGCCTATGTTCCTTTCACAAAATATGACCTCCTGTCCACTTACCACGGAGCTTTTCCGCTTACCAAGGAGAACACCCCTCTGACGGTGCCAGACATGTTATTATCAAAAATAGGAAGAAAAGCTGTTTGTAGCTGGCTTTCCAGCCTGGGCACCTGGGCACACCCTGGCCGGCACCCGGGCCCACTCAGTGCCAACCCCCAAAAACCACCAAAAAAATAAGAAAATCTGCGCCGCAGGCCTACGGCCCAAAGGGAGAGAAAGAATGGGCAGCGGTCGCAAAAAAATTTGGGGTCCGGTACGCCCTATTTGATGGCTTTTTTTTCCCCTCCGCCTGGGCCGTCGATCTGGGTCGATCGACGGTGCAAAAGTCCCGAGATTTTGAAGCCGAATCTCGAGACTTTGGGCGCGTCCCTGAGCCCTCCGGCCTTTGCTCTCTGGACTTCGACTGCACCAGTTGCCGTGGGGAGACTTCTGTGCCGTTGTCGCCCTGCCAAGCCATCGCCGTCGCCTTCCTGCTGCCCTCCAGCCCCGCCATCGTCGTGGACCTCCAGCTGCGCCATCGTCATCGCCGTCCAGCCGGGCAATCGTCATTGCCGTCTACCCACGCCATCGACTGCCTGTGCCATCGTTGCCCTCCCGCCCTCCAGGTTCTTCAACTTCTTCTTCTTCTTCTTCTTCTTCTTCTTCTTCTTCTTCTTCTTCTTTCTCTATTTCTTCCTCCTCTCCTCTTCTTCTTCGTTCTCTTCAATCCCTCCATTCCCTCGTGTTTTTTTCCTCCTCCTTCGTTTCTTCGTCTTCTTCTTCTGTTTCGTCTTAAAGTTGTCATTTCTTCTTCTTAATCGTTTTTTCTTTTTCTTCCTGTCATTCTTCTTCTTCTTCTTTTAATTCTTCTTCTCCTTATTATTCTTCATCGTTTCTTCTTTTTCTTCCACTCTTTCTTCTTCTTCTTCTTCTTTTTCTTGATCATAAACTTCTTCTTCTTCCTCTTCTTAGGTTCTTCTTTTTCGTCTTCTTCTTCTTTTTCTTCTTTTCTTTCTTCTTGTTGTCCCTTCTCCACTTCTTCCTTCTGTTTGCTTCATCAACGAATCAGCATGTTTTTTTTTTTTTCAACGGTTCGGCTCTGTTCCTCATAGCCGCCGCCCTCCCTCCATAGGCTCCCTTCCCCTTCCTCCTCCCTCCATAGGCTGTTTTGAATTCTTTAATGTCGAAACGGGTGTCACACCGTTGAGTTTTTTTAAATAAACGGTGACTCCTGGGAGGAAGCAGAACGCCTTGTTCTTTGTCTTTTTCTCATTTTGGAAGCTAAGTGCACGAGGAAGCACCAGTTTCTTTCAATTTTGCAAGTGTCACTCTACTTTCTCTTTTTTGGTCCACTTCTTCGCTTAAGCTACCACTCCGTCAATGCTCTCTCTCTCTCTTGCCCTCTCTATGAATGATTGGATAACGTAATGTCTTACCCATCTCTGATTATAACCACATCCCCATCCTGATCGTCTCCGATCAGGTATCGCGAGAGCGAGCATCATGGAACTTAATAAGGAACGAGCGAGGTTTGTTGTGTGTGATGTGTTCAATCACATCAGTGTCTAATAGCTCAGGTATCTTTGAGTCGTCCGATGCGCTATATTGTGCTATAATTTTGTATGTATCTGAATGTACATTGTGTGTTAATGCTCTCCTGATGCTGCATTGTCCATTCGAGTCCATATACGTCACTCAACTGAGCATGTATCAGTGCGCATGCGCGCGCGCGCGCGTGTGTGTGTGTGTGTGTGTGTGTGTGTGAGAGAGAGAGAGAGAGAGAGAGAGAGAGAGAGAGAGAGAGAGCTCTGCACTGTCTGCAGTTCTACAAAACAATGGGAATGTATCTGGCTTATAAACGGTCCAGACGTTGTGAGTGTGGCCCAAATAGGGGCCATATTGATAAGTCATCTTGATGAATAGGGGGCGCTTATACATCACTCAAATGCGCTTGTATCAATGCGTGTGCACGTGTGTGTGCGTGTGTTGGTTATTTACCCAATTGAACTTCAATCCACAGCGAATTGACACGTTCCCATACACGCATGCAATTGCAGAGTAGACTTGGAGGAGGCAAATCCACACAAAACAGGAGAGAAGATATGCACAGCGGAAGCTCAAAAGACACAGAGAATCGAAAAACGAATTTCAATTCTACAATCCCTAGTCCTCCTCCAATCAATCCAGAGTACTTGTTCCAAGAATCACAACGGCGTTTACAACAGCCCCGAACAACCAGAAACAACTGTTCAACGAAGTATGCAGGAGTCTTCTTCTTCTTCCTCGCCACCTCATACCCCTGGCTATGCTGCCCTAGCAGCAGAAACCCCACAGTGCCATTCTGAACCAGCAACCCCAATGATGGCAGTGCCAGCTCAGCGCCTGCACGGAAGTGGAGCGCTGGAAGTCCTGATGAAGAAGGAGACAACCGATCCAGCACCTCGAAGAAGACGAAATCGAAGTTCCTCATGAGGAGGAACAGCAGATATGGCTGCCAAGTGGAGAATGGCAGTGCCCAAACCCAACAGCACAGTCCTTTGGAAGCTCTCGAGTCTCGTGCAGAGCTCCGAATAACAGCAGTGCGATCTTCAACTTCTTTTCCCAAGAATCCCAACCCCAGCTATGGCTGGGCTTCGAGGAAGAAGATGACCTCACCCAAAATAGAGCAGTAGCGCTCCGACAACGGGCGGGCAAAGTTTCCCCAGCCAACTAAAACGTGAAAAAGACCCAAACCAAATTTCCTGCCCGCTACTTCTAACGTGAAAAAGACCCAAACCAAATTTCCTGCCGGCTACTTCTACCCTCTGCCTAGACCTACCACGGAGTCCAAAGGCAACAACCGAATACTCATCTGCATCTAGATGGAAACAGGGGGAAAAGCCTCCGAAAAGGGCACCTGCCACCTAGACCTATGACAAGGCTAAAGGAAAAGGCCGGATGGCCTAAGGCTACCAAACAGAGACTAGTAGTGGTCCCATAGAGCTCAACACTCGCAAACAAAACAAATACAGTTACATGTCACGGGATCAAGTCCCGCAGGCTCAAAACAAGAAAACAAACTACAAAGCCAAACCCTTAGCGTACAGCCCCACTGGGAAACTGCGATTTATTGCATGTATGGGTCTCGCTCCACTACTCTAGAAACCGTCCATTTCTTGAGCGCGGCACCGCTGCACTTACTCTAGACGCCACGTCTGGAATTCGGGTTCTTGAGCTGTCAGTATCTACTCACAAAAATGGCGAGAATCCATCGTCGCTCCACTACCTCATGAAACACACTCACGAAAATGCATTTCTTGAGTTGCCAGAACCTCCTCTCCAGTGGCACTCTTGACATTTGGAGAGCTCCCGCCTGTAGCGGCCCGAATTTCAAGGGAGGCATCCAGGACCTTCGAAAGTTGAGCATTTTTTTGGAGTGCACCTGAAGTCTGGGCGGACAGCAACGTGCTGGCCGTGTCGTGTAGCTCTCTTAAAGAGTGGTCTGACATCCGAGAGGCCTTCTTGAGTTTGACCATCTAGAGTAAGTGGAACAATGTTCTCTTTTTCAGTTTCTAGAGTCTGACAGCTCTAGGCTCACTCTCGAAAAATTTTGAGAGTCTAGAGTAGTGGAGTGAGACCCTATGTATCGTAAGGAAATTCCTCCGGCAATCGGACTTTCCCCAGTCATTTTTTCCTATTCCCCAAGGGACCTCACTTGTGCACAGAGGAGAGGGCACACGCGTAGAGAGACGTTACAGCCGAGAATCTGGATCGTGGAGGCACCCTATTGGCTGAAGGCCTGAAACACAACTGTTTTTTTTCTTGTTTTTGCTATTTTCTTTTCTGACATTGCTCTTAGGGCATGTCGATGGCCTCAATTTCCTTTTGTCATTAGGAATTTTCCTGTTGCCCGAGAATTTCAAAAGGAGTGTCATATGGCGCCCAATGAGATGTGAGATTGCGCGAGGAAAAAGAAAGGGAAGATTGGGCTTAAAGGTGCCCCAAGAGATCGTATAAAGGGGAGAGAAATCCCGTTTGCCGAAACAAGAATTCAAAAGAATGCAAAAAGGGAAGGGGGAAGAAAGTCTGGTAAGTCAATTCACGTGACGTAGAGTAATGAAACGTATTGGCTCAGAAAACAGCACCTTCTGGAAAGCAGATTGCTGCACTTGGATGTCTTCAGAAGGGAAATGTCAGAGATGACTAATGTTG